GCCCATGAGGCCCTTGTGAGCCATATGGTGCCCTAGTAGCCCCTCTGACTCCCTCTTTCTTGAAGGAGAGAGGTCTCCTTTTATAATTGAGGGAGAGTCTCATCTTCTTGTGTTTTGTAGATATGGGACTCTCCTCCCCTTTGCTTGGATTGGCTTGGGAGTGCTTGGCCAGATATTGTACAAACACAATTATTTTGCAAGCATGAATTTTTCCATAACCCAATCCAAGACCATTCAACACCTTCTGCGCGTGTTTATGGTCTTTCGGCAAACAATTGTCCGTCGGAAGCATTCTCTTGAAAACCCCTAAAAAGTAATCGAAACACATGTTCCACATATGATACTTTATTTTTCTGTGCATTAGCTCCACAATGGCCTTGAGAACGAAAAAGCTCTCGCACCCTGGATATAACTCTTGGTTTGCATTTTTTAACAGTTTTTCATATTGTTCAAACTCTACACTGTCTATTGGTGTAGGCACATCGTCTTCCCCTTCCTCATTGATGTTGGTCGATGCAAATAGAAAAGCATCCTATATAATATCCATGACTTGATCATTAGGATCCACAATAAGTTCAACATTGTCCACTCCTGTGGCATTTGAAGACGAAGCATGGTCTAATTGTTCCCTGTGAAGGTTCCAAATACTATATGTCCTAATCATTCCATTTCTTACTAAATGAAATCCAACATTTTCAATTGTCTCCCACAACGTGTTGTTACACCTCCTTCAAGGATAACGGATTCTAGTTGCACCTGGGTTGTGTCTACATGCAAACTCAATAGAATCCTCGATTTCATCCAAGTATTCATCTGCACATATATTCGGGTTCTGTATCCACCTTTTGCTCATAATTCCTGAAACCACAATTACAACAACTTCATACGAAGTTATAATGTCACCTTATGCCTCCGGTAAGGGCCCTATCCCATTCGGGAATGCATAGTCCTCTCACGTAATCTACGACTACATGAGATTAGATTTCGACGTGGATGTATTTCGATAGCATCTTGATACAGTTATTAAGGTGGGCATAGGTATAAATACCTACGTACCACCCGAAGAACGTACCGAGAGGACACTGAAATCTCCACAATCGAAACCTAATCATGTAGCTGTAGATTACGTGACAACACTATGCATTACCAAACTGTCCAAATAATGGGACAATCCAAGAATTAATTGGACTGCAGTCATGCTTTACGCATCCATGCACGAAATCCAACTAATCTCGAACGGGAAACTAAGTGTTACTAAACACAAAAATAAAATTACGAAGTTAATTTCAATTAACTTCATACATCACAACACATTGTGCTACGTCACGCACAAGTTAACAACATAATACAAATATAACTTCACAAAAAAAATATAAACATAACAAGCTAACTTTAACATTTTTAATATATAAAACGAATAAAATATATTCTCAATCGTTCTCCACCAATTACTAATTACAAATATCCCTAACGAGAACGAAATTAATAGCGTTAGTACGAATTTACATTAATAATTTTAAACTAACGAAAAAACATACTTACCCAATGAACGTACTGAATTCCCAGAAGAGGCAGCAACAGAGAGATTGAGAGAGAGGCAGAATGCTATTTTTTTTGCATTCTGCCTTTGCAATGGCAGAATTCTAATATGAAGAAGAATGACTTTATGCGACGAATCATTGATTTCGTCGGACAAACTACCGTCGCGAAAAACCACTTTTCCGTCGCACAAAACAACTTCGTCACGCAAGCACATGTCAACATCACACTTTTGCGCGATCCAATATATTTTTCGTCACACAAACTTTCCTCGAGCAAAAACAACTTTCCGTCGTGCAAAATCAATCTTTCGTCGTGCAAGAATGTACCGACATCAAACTTTAGGCGAAGAACACTATTTCCGTCGCGCAAAAAAAAAATCCCCTGCGAGTATTTTGGCGCCAAAAAAAATAAATATCCCTTTTCTTACGCGACGATAAATTATGTCGTCGCACTAAGTTGTCTTTTGCGACGAAAACTATCGTCGCACAATTTTTTGCCTCCAAATAACGGGACCCACTATTTTCTGTCCACCTTTATGCGACGAAGTGTCCAACTGTAGCGCTAGATTCTCTTACGCGATGCTTTTTCTCGTCGCGCAAGTGTTTGGCGCCAAAAAAAAATCGGGGTTTTTTTTTCTCACTTTGCACGACGAATAAATTTTCTGTCGCGCTAAGACATTTTGCGAGACGAAAAATTTGGTCGCGCCAGTTTTCAGTGGTTTGCTCGACGAATATTTTTTTCCGTCGCTGTAGTGCATGTTGCGCGACGAACACGACGAATTCATATTCGTCGCACAAATAGTAAAACGTAGTAGTGTTTACAAAGTCTGTTAGATGTATACGAAAAACATAAGTTATTTTTTTGGGTATACAATGCTCAAAACGAATAAAATTATATTTGTTGGTTTTTGAATTCTTTTGTGGATGCACACCACAATTTGCAGCACACAACTCACATATTTAACAATTAAAATTATATTTTTCTCACCATTTTTTTCCAAGTCAGTCTTGGTAAGAGAAAAGAGGTCAATTGATTAGGTAGTCACTGGAGTCAACTCAAGTAGAGAAGGTGTGTAAATTGCACACTCTCTTCGAAAGACTTGTGTAATGTGAAATTCAAGAAAGAAGAAAATTGAGTCTTTAACATACTAGTGTTTTAGTGTGATGTGACTCAAAAGACTCTTGATACCTAAGTTAGACTTAGAATAAGTGATTGCAAAGAAGTAACTTTCTTAGTTTTATTAACAATGAACTTCGTTTGATGGAGGTTGGCTTTTATACAGTCTCTGGGTGGCTGATTTCTTGCCTTTGAGCCTAATGGGTATGTTGAGAACCTTTATTCCGACTATCATATTCAATTAACCATTGGATTTGGGATGTGGGATGATTAATGAGTTTAATGCACGTAATATTTGGGCTACCACTCATGTAACGGTTGTAATGGCATGTGACTGGGCTACTGTTAAAGCATCCACAATGGGGATGTGCAAATTCAGAGGTGTAAAACCACTTTTACGTCTCCTTTACACCTCCGGGAGATACAAATGTCATTTTTGCTCCAATGAGTTGGATGCAAATTCAAAGATGTAAATCTGATTTTCTTGTATTAATTTGTTTGTTGTGTTATTATTTTTTTTTTAATGTTAATTTTGTGTGTGTTAGGTCTAATTATTTTTTCTGAACAAATTGACCTAAAAATTTTAAAATTCCGATAATAGATAATTTCATTCAATATGATGTAAATAAAATTAATTTGAACCATCGACTTTGATATGAATTTATTCTTCAGCATTTATCAGTGTAGTTGTTAGATTCATATTTCAATTTGAATGAAATCTACATTAGAGAGTTGTTGGAGAAGAACTTTGTATATTTGCATCATGTTAATAACTTCCCCATTTTAATAAATCTCAACCACGCCCTGGGCCCACCTTTAATAACTTCCCCATCTTTTAGGTAGTTTCCTCTCTCCTCTCTCTTGGCTTTTTTGTTATGGGGCCCATTTGGTTGGGTTTAAAATTAGATGTACATTTGCATCTTTTTTCTCATCTCACGGTTGTTTTACAATCATATACACCTCCCCGTTACAAGATATATTCCGACAACCAAATGTGTATATTTGACATACACATTAACACTGTGGATGCTCTTATAAGATTCAGCATGTTAATAGTGGCCGTAAAACCTTCTTAGGGAAACTTTTTTAGGTAAACCCATATGAGAAAACCCCGAGCAAGGAAACATGTAACAGACTAACAACATAGTTCAAACAAAATAGAAATGCAGAATAGTCACCTCTAAAACAAAACTACCCCACCAACAAACACAAACTTAGACTTAGGAGTGTTATCAACTATTTTATTTAGGAGAGGTAGGGCATTAACCACATAGAGAATACTCAAGTGGAAGGATTATCTAAATAAAAGAGAGAATCCTCTGTCGCATGCTTTTTAGTTTTTTTGCAGTACCTCTCATGACTCATCGCAATCACAATTAATTAACAGATAATAAGGCTTAGTGCATGTTAGTATTAGGTGAAAGGTGTGCATCAAAACTATTCATGCTAGCCATGGGCACGTATGCTTGTTTAGCAACAGCAACAACAATAACAAATTAATTCCTGACAAAAAACAAATAAATTAACAACATAAAAAATTATTTTAAAATAATAATAAAATATAACAAATGGGCGCATGCAGTTTTCTCTCTCACCACGTCAGAAATCATATAAACAAAATATTGTACTGTTGCTGTTTATGACAATGACAATCAAACCCATGAACGGAAAAAAGATGCTAATCAATTTATTTATTTATTTATAACTTTGGTTATAAAGTATATTTTTTGAAAACCAATAGGGCCAGTCGATGCCTACGATATAAAAAGTTTAGTGTTTGTTATATGATTCATCGACTCTTTAAGATTTCAAACATGACCTTCTTCTGACTTTTGTACACGTAGATGTAATGTTTTGTTGGAGAGTCGACTGTAAGGCCTTCTTCAATCTATGAGGGGCTAAATTCAAATTTTCCCCCTCCAAAAAGTGATTATTTGGGTTTTGCCCGAACTCAAATTGTTTTTTCTCCCAACCCTCCGAACTCAAATTTTAGGTCCGTAACTTTATTAAATTGTTTAAGAATGGTTTAAGTCCAATTTTTTTTTTTTTTATGAATAACTTTTCTTCATTCAATCTTTTTAAATAACTTCATAATTAAATTTTTTGAACAATTTGACCTTAAAAAAATTAAAATTCCACAAATATAATTTTATTTCAAAAGAAAACACACAACATAATTCTAAAAGAAAACACACAATACTTTAGATTCACCATACATGAATGCCAATATGAATAAACTAATAACCACCATCGTGGGGGCTTGGATAATAGTCCACTGAATTATCTTCAGGATTAACGGTAGACTGTTGACCCCCGCATGTTCTTGTATAATTTCATCTTGTTTATCCCCCCAATACTTCTTCTTTCTTGGAGTAAATTTGGACACGTCCATGGACATTTTTTTTTTGTTCTTGGGCTTCCTTATCTTGTTGCTTCTGATACGCATAAGCATCAGCTTGATCTTGGGCAAACTTGTCCAATATGTTGAGCTTTCGTCTCCTATCATCCTCGAAAGCAATACCTTGCTCCACTAATGTTTTCAAGTACTTATCCCTTTTTTGTTGAGAATGGTCAGCCATCTTCCCCTTTTTTTTTGCAGCCTTTTGTTTATCTCTCCCCTCAGGCCTTGGACTAGGCATGGTGATTTCGTCTGCATCATTATCCAAATTCACCATACTTGCACTAGCTCCAGAAGAACGTTGTGCGGGAGGCTCATTTATATCGTTCCACTTTGGGCAATCTTTTAAGATTTTCCAAGCATGATACAACTTGAAATGCCTATTTGGAGGCTTATTATCATTAAGAAATATTGTTTTTGCATACACATCCTACACATGAAAAAATAAATTTAAGTTTGGAGTTGCATAAAATTACAAATATAAATTTAAAGCTTTAATAAGAATGGTTACTTACCACATCATGTAAATTTGAGCCACTTTGTGGGTTCGTATTGGCCTTAGTCAAGCATGTCTTCCAAAGAGAACACTGTTGGTTGATAGTCTTGAACTGAGAAGCAATGGCTTGATATGTTCGTCGCTCGGGTCCACTAATGCCCGGATCATTTTCCAGAAACTTGTGATATACACTCTTCCAAAATGTGTCGCTTGCTTGATTGGTGCCAATAGCCCCATCTTCACTGACAGAAACCCACCCTTTACACAATGCCTCATCTTCTTCGAGCCTCCAATTCACACCTCTTTGAGGTTTTGTGGACATCTTCAACAAGAATGAAAGGAGATTGATGAGATTGACAAAGGAAAAATAAATTGAGAAATAGAAATAATGTTTTTGGTAATTAATTGAGAAATGGATGGGTATTTATAGAGTTTGGAGTGAGTTTTGGGGTTGGATCTGATTTGGATTAATTTAAAATATTATTTTGATCGTTAGATTTAAATTTCAGCCGTTGGATCTTTTTTTTTACCGTTAAAATAACTTAGATTTAATCTAGATCGTTAATTTAAAGTTACTATTAGAATTTGAAAAAAAAAGAAGGGAATAGTTCTTTGCAACGGCACTTTTAAGGTTGGAATGAGCCAACAGCCGGCCCAGCCTTTTTAAAGTTACTTCAGATTTGTTTATACGGCTACAAAACCAGGCGCCGACACGTGGCATGACAGCAGACAAACCCATCAGAAAATGTCAATAGTGCGGGTCCCACCAATTTTCAGAATCACATGGCCTCAGCCACCTCAGCGTGGGGTCCAACAAACAGTATTGGGTCCAGGCAATACTTGGACCCATATTTGGGTCCAAATTTGGGTTTTCCCAAATTTTGGGTCCTTCATTTTGTTGGGTTAGGAGAGATTTTGGGGGATAATTTGGGTTTGAGTCCTTGCATTGGAGATGGCCTAAGGCAAAGCTTAGCTACAGTAATAATCAAGAATTTTATAGTGAGGGTCTTATATGTGGCCCTTAAGTGAAGCCATATATCTTAATTGTTAAATTAAATTGGTTAGCCTGATCTAACGGTTAAGAGATATGACTTTACCTAAAGGTCATATATAAAACCCTTACTATAGAATGACTCTAATAGTAATAATGTGTATCAAGAATCAAGATGATACCTCCTCCTTCAAAATTATGAATATATGTCTCCTAATTATCGGTTTTTTTAATACTATCTTATAAGAAAAAAACCATGGTGACATCTTTACTCTTCCTTTTCTAGGTCATGAACTTCGTCAAAATATACAAAATATTAAAAGTTCTTGAAAAACATAGTTATAACTTATGTTAATTAGATGACGGGAGCTTTGAGATTAAATACTAAATCCAACATTCTTTTCATTTTAAGTACTAAAAGGTTAGCATACAAGTAATATTTTACTTTAAACTATTCTAAATTTCAAGGAAGGGAATTCGAACTCGGGTGTAAAGTAGTAAGGGCCTGTTTGGTATTCAACTTGAATCCAACTTTTTAAACTCAAAAACAGAATTTGAGTCCAAAACAAAGAAAACCTATTTGGTAGCCTATTTTTAAAAACTCAAACTCAAAAACAACCAAAAAAAACCCAAATTATTAAAAATAAAAAATATTTGTTTTTTCAGTTTTTAACCCACAAGTTCTCAAATTTTTAAGATTTGAAAACAGTTTTCAAGTTGCATACCAAACAAGTTTTTGAATCATAAAAATAGATTTAAGAACTCCTTATTTTTAAGAAAAATCAAAGTTTTTTAGTTCCCTATTTGAATACGATACCAAACGTCCCGTTAATATTAATATGTAATTTGATTTAGTTACCAATTGAAAAATCCAATAAGGAACAAATGTTACTATAATCCGATGTTCTTGCGTCAATAGCCACCTAAGGAATGACATAACTCTGCCTCAGCTTTTAGTTATTGCTTCTTCAAAGTTGAATGTTGTCTTTTGTCCAAGACACAATGTGGATGTAGCACGATATTTATATACTCTAAAATTTTTGTAATTTTGAATTTTCCATAGCCTAATGTTTAGTTTGAAAATAATAAAGAATAACTCAATATGTATGTACATGTAAAAATCACACATACACTACACATATTACGTCGAAAATTAGCATGTGACTTTATTAAGAGGATGAATTAACAAGTGCAAAATAGATTAGGCTCTATAGGATTAGACCACCATTTCTACAAATTAGGCTTCGGTCATCAGACCAACTCGATAGCTTACTATCTTCCCGCATAGCAATCAGAGAGAAATTTTCCCCTGATAAAGCGCTCCGACATCTCCAAAGGTCCTGAGCCGTAAAAAATAAAAACAAGTTACAATCCTCAAAAAGAACATTTAACAAAATAGTTAAGAGCCGAATAGAGAGAAAGGAGGCAACATGGGAAATGGTCAAGCCCAGGTACACCAAAGATGTCCCAAAGGCCAATAATGAAAGCCCAGCGCACATCCAAACCCCTTGGATCAGGGATAAAGCCTCAAGCAAGAGCAACTCCGAGTACAAAATGGGGTAAGACCATATGGTCTCACAGGGGTAAGACCAAAACGCAATTCCTGGCCGAAACCTTCGCTTGGCATGGACCATCCATAAAGGTGATGCCAAACACAAATATTTCTCCCAGTGGGTGGACAACCACTAACAAACAAGAACAGGGATAAAGCCTCAAGCAAGAGCAACCCCGAGTACAAAATGGGGTAAGACCATATGGTCTCACAGGTGTAAGACCAAAACGCAATTCCTGGCCGAAACCTTCGCTTGGCATGGACCATCCATAAAGGTGATTCCAAACATAAATATTTCTCCCAGTGGGTGGACAACCACTAACAAACAAGAACAACAAAATAAAGCAGTGGATGGACATCCACGAACAAACAAGAACAACAAAATAAAACTCTCATAGGGGGAGAGGAAACTCTCCCAAAGGAGAGCGATGGAGGATTAGCAGACATGAGAGGAAGAGAGTAGAGGGAAAGATAGAGAGGAGAGGGGAGGAGGAGTTTCTAAGGGAGGGGGGCTAAAAAAATCAGCTTTGGTTATCAAATTTCAACTATATCGGTTAGAATAATCAGATTAATCGAACTCAAACCCTAGAGATTCAGATGACAGTGACAGCAATATACATACTGCACTGTCCAAAATTCATTACTGAACATATATATATGTACGTTGGTAGTCAGCAGAGATCCGTTTTGGTCATTGGTAGTGTACGTTAAATTCTTCTCTGGGTCTCTGTCATATCTGAGGGATTAAAAAGAAGGAATTTCTGAAGAGTGAAAAATGAAGAAGATACACACATACATTCATCAGCCGATGGAAGAAGCACAAGAGTATAGAAAGAATCCCAACTAACCAGTTTGTTGAGTCCCGATCAGGAAGCAGCAGTTAAAAATAGCCTCAAGAACAGAAGGTAATGGCTTCCAACACCTCCCAAGCAGGAACAAGCATAGTTGATGAACTCCAGCATCTGTAAGGGAGCCACTTGTAGTCGATTTCAATACATCTCATTCCTATTTTGTTAGCAACTTGAATTATCATGAACAGGATTTCCACTGGAGAGAGACCAGATAATTTTGAGGCTATACAAATTTTGTTTTCACAATGCCAGGCTTGTGATAAATTTGGATTAAGATCAGACAGTGAACTTTCTTGAATAATTTATGTTAGGAAAAAAAATTTCAATTATAAGTTCCTATAAAACTAAATGATCAATAACCAGAAACTAAATTTTCATTTACCATAGTCACCATGTGGAGTTACCTTGCACGATATTAACTTGAGGTCTATTTGAGAGTGCTTCTGGAAGGAGTAAAAATGTTTTTAACTGCGTTTAATAGAAAAATTTAAAAACTCTTATGGTTATATAAGCACATTCTAGAGAAACAAAAGCACTTGAATTTCTTATGAAAATTTTTACGTTTTTATGATGATAGTGCTTTTTCTAGAAGTGCCTATGAGGTATTTCGAAGAAAAAAAATAGTCACAAAAGAGCAGTGTCCATAAAAATTTACAACGATGCTTACAAGATGCAAGTAGCTCTTTGTTTCTCTGTCTTTCTGTCTCTCTGTCTAAATAAAAGGGTTAAAGTAGCTATAGATAGGGGTCCTGGAGGACAATGAAAGCATTAATGATGAATAATTAAGTCGAAGAAGACCAAATAGTGAAATTTGAGTTTTGACAGCCTCATAATCCCGTCCATTGTGCCAATTTTAGTCCAATCATGCAAAAGAAAGAAGGAAAAAAGTGGTTGATGTATGCGCATGTCGACTGTCTGGGACTCTGGACGAAGAGGCCCTTCACTATCAACAAAAAGGAAAAGGAGATTCGTGGGGTAAGTTGTCCTTTAAGAAATAAGACCCTACACCCAAAAAAAACTTACCAGCTAGCTTCATGCCAAGCCACAGCCACAACATATTCTCAAGGACAGCCCTTTGTTTTGCCAAAACATACAGAAGAAAAGCACTCAGCCCATGCAACAATACGACAAGTCTCCTGGGTTGTCCATTAGTCGGCAGAGGCAAAGGACTATTTGATGTAATAAATCAAACATTGAAGCTCATTGCGTTCAACAACACCAAAGACAAACATAAATTTACATGTACTAGTCTTCACTGGTACTCTTCAATTCAAATGCAAGTGTGTTTGTGCCCTTGCTAGTTTGATCACGTACGTATACCAACTATAATTTACCATTCTTCTCTAAGTAAATAAATAATTAAACAGGATTTTAGGATGGTAAAAAATAGCATTGACTTGCATACCAATTGTCTTAGGTTTGGATTTCCGTGACACCTTAATAGAGTGTATGTGAGAAACTTCCTTCTGTTTATAATTTAGACCATCGACATATTAAAAAATAATAATAATATTGAAGATGTTTTTACATTTAAACTTTCCCCGAGAGGCTTTAGATTTAAAGAAGAAAAGAAGGAAAAGAGATAAATGTTTCCAAGCTTTTTGCACTTGCTAGAACAATTATGGTGGTGCACAGGGAAGGCTTTAAAGAGAAGTTATGATTATCTTTGGCACACGTTTGTATGTTACCTAACGACAAACATGTCTGGCGTCATTCATATTTTTTGTAGCTACTAACTTCCCTAGTGAGGTGACTTGATAGCTCGCTGAATATTGCACTATGTTGGGCACTAAGCACAATAAACTTGATCAGCTTTATGCTTTTCTTCTTAGGGTAAGAAAACATTCAACCTAGCTAAGTCATCTAGCTATAAGTCTAGAGCTTACTCAATTCTGAACATCACCGATTTGCTGCTCATCTATATCTTA